CCGAACAGTGCCCAGGCCTGTTTCCCAGATCGTTTGAGAAGTGTGAGTGCGCTGAATCGGGCTCAGGCCCAGATCAAGGAAACTGTACATAGTGTGTGAGTATGTCGTGTTCGGTTCCTTTTCTTTCAATCAGCAATCGAGTCAGTGGGTCTTGATTTCAAAAGTTGGATTTATTGCCAGACAATAAAAACGAGAGGCTAACAGACAAACAAATGTCTCTCCATGAACCTCTGCCTCTCTGTGTCCCTGTCTTGCTTTTATACATGTAGTGTTGCAGACTTTTCCCACAGATATGGTCTTGTGCTGTGAACCTGCTATATTTTTGGCTGTGCCTTTTGAACTCAGGTATATTCTTGGCTGTTTGCCCTTTAGGTGCTGGTTTAAAGTTTACATGTACTCAGCTAACTACTAGGCTTGCTCTTACTGTTATACATTCACTTCACACTTATTTGTACACATATTAATATGATTATACAGAATAACATGTTCATTGCATATGTTAAACAATATATGTTTACTTGCACACTTGCACACAATTGGAGATATTTACTGCATATTCACTGCACACTTTACCCAATATATGTTCACTGCACACTATTAGAGAGAAGATCAAATCCTTAACATACAAATATATGTTCACTGCACACTATTGGAGACAAGATTACAATTTCTCCGTCATATTCCCTCCTCTTAAGACTTTTTCTGAAGTCTTAATATTATTGTTTTTTACCCATAGTGCAATTTCACAATCCGGTTCCCTTAGTTACCACTATCTAGTGACTGATATTAGCCACATAATAGTTACCAATTGACCAGATTATGCTACCGCACTGTGGCAGAAGTAGAAGCCAAACATCTACCCCTACTGTTGACATAGGGATAGTAAAAGACTTCTTCCTCTGTTTTTTCTGTTTCATAGAAAATAGTGTTTAAAGCATGAGCGTGCAATTGGTTCAGCACTTGCCTGTGGGTGTCACAGTTATGTAGAATACAATACTATATATAGATATTGTTATCATTAATCTTTTACACACATAATATATCTCACACAATAATCACAAACATCAAAAGTAGTTGCCCATCACAACGTGT